GGGGGGGGGGGGGGATTGGCCCTGGGGCAGGCGCGCACTGGTTTCCCCTGGAGGGGGAATCCTGGGAGGAAGCAGATGCAGGGGACTCTTTGCCTCCACTGGCACCCCACTCCCCAGACCCCACTCCCCAGCTCCAGAACGCTGTCCCCACTCCCCTGTCCCCAGCTACAGAACTCTGTCCCTATTCCCGTCCTCACACCTCGAACTCTGTCCCCACTGGCACTCTGTCCCCAGTTGCAGAAACCTGTCCCCACTGTCACTCTGTCCCATGCTGCAGAACCCTGTCCTCTGCCCTCCCAGCACTCTGTTCCCTCTCCCCTGCCCCCAGCCACAGTACTCTATCCCCACAAAATGTATAATTATAAATGCTTCATTTTAGATTTAAATAGCATGAATAAAAACCAGACCATTTATTTCATAATTATAAACACATGATTTTAATTTTATATATCGCATAATTTGAAAATAAACTGTTTATCAGAGTGTGTAAGTAAGGGCTGGGGATAGCAAGTGATGGACAGGAGGAGAATAGAGAGGGCGGGGCTTCAAGGAAGGGGCGGGGCGGTAGAGCTTCGCCTGTTCTGAGATTTAAAAAGTGATCTTGGGTGTAAAAAGGTTGGAGACCACTGATCTAGAGAAAAGGGTAAACAGTGAGGTGGCCAAGTTTGCGGACCATACTAAATTGTTCAAGATAGTCATGACTAAAGCAGACTGAAGATCTCACCAAACTGAGTGATTGGGCAACAAAATGGCAAATGAAATTTAATGTGGATAAGTGTAAAGTAATACACATTGGAAAAAATAACCCCAATTATACATACAATATGATTGGGGCTAATTTAGCTACAACTAATCAGGAAAGAGATCTTGGAGTTATTGTGGATAGTTCTCTGAAAACGTCCACGCAATGTACAGCGGCAGTCAAAAAAGCAAATAAGATGCTAGGAATTAGTAATTAAGGGTTAGAAAATAAGACAAAGACTATCTTACTGCCCCTGTATAAAACTAGAGTATGCCCACATCTTGAATACTGCATGCAGATGTGGTCTCACCTCAAAGATATTTTGGCATTAGAAAAGATTCAGAAAAGAGCAATTAAAATGATTAGGGGTTTGGAATGGGTCCCATATGAAGAGAGGCTAAAGAGACTGGGACTTTTCAGTTTAGAAAAGAGGAGACTGATGGGGGATATGATAGAGGTCTATAAAATCATGAGTGGTGTGGAGAGGGTGAATAACGAAAAGTTATTTACTTTGTTCCCATAATATAAGAACTAGAGGATACCAAATGAAATTAATGGGTAACAGGTTTAAACCTAATAAAAGAAAGTTCTTCTTCACACAGCACACAGAAAGTGAATAAGGAAAGGTTATTTATTTGTTCCCATAATATAAGAACTAGGGGCCACCAAATGAAACTAATGGGCAGCACATTTAAAACATATGAAAGGAAGTCCTTCACACAGTACATAGTCAATCTGTGCAACTCCTTGCCAGAGGAGGCTGTGAAGGCTAAGACTATAACAGAGTTTAAAAAAGAGCTAGATAAATTCATGGAGGTTAGGTCCATAAAAGGCTGTTAGCCAGGGGGTAAGGAATGGTACCCCTGGCCTCTGTTTGTCAAAGGCTGGAGACAAATTGCTTGATCATTGTCTTCGGTCCACCCCTTTTGGGGCACCTGGCACTGGCCACTGTCGGCAGACAGGATACTGGGCTTGATGGACCTTTGGTCTGATCCCGTATGGCTGTTCTTATGTTCTTAAGACGTTTGAGTGACTAAAACATATATTTCTGATGGATACCCAAACCATGCCATGTAAGCTCATTAAATGAAATCATTTGTAATATAAAGCATAGAAGTATTAAAACCCCACTTCATATGGGATACATGCATTCATTGTTGCAGTAATTAAAATATACGCATAGATCTTCTCAGAGAAAATACAGGGAAAGTCTACCTTGAGCTGCCAGGAGACGGATCTGCCAATAGGGAGCAGGTGTGGAGCAATAAGCTTTGTTATCCGACACATGCAATTAAACGGTAATCCCCGTGCCCCGTGAGTGTAGGACAGCAAAGCTTTCCCTGTATTACAAATCTAAGCCTACAAGTGGAGGTCATTTCCTATGAGCTCTGCTGAGACCATCAATTTCCATTGAATTTAGTAGGAGTTAAGGGTATTTTATTCCATTACTTTGTAATACCAAATTCTTGATTTGCACAGAAGCTGCATGTTCTCAGCTTTATTTGGTTAAACTCCAATAATGAATTTCCCAATTTGGTTTGCTGATTAAAAATCAGTTTAAAAACACACAGGAATTTTTCATTGGGATCAGCATGAATCACTGTCCCCGGGCCTTTGCTAGTGTGTCTTATGTACATATATATTAATGATTCATGGATAGTGAGTTCTCTCTTTTCTCTTTAACAGTACTGAAAGGATTTATGCCATGGTTTCATTTCTTTGGTGAAAAGTGTCTGCTGCCCAAGTTCAACTCTTTTCTCAAATCCTAGAATTTGAATTTTGTTTATATGGGCAGTAGGAAGAGCATGTCAATGCTGAACACAGTGGTCTGCTGAAAGTGGGCAAGTTCTGCAGTTTGTCTCTGTAAACTGTTTCTCTTTGTTTACAAATTAGTATAAACACTAAACATCTGACTCAGGAATGTTTTCTGTGGAGCAAAGATAGTTCATATGGTTTGCTCTCTAGTCAACTTTAATAGGCCCTATATAGCATAATTAATTATTTTCCATTTTGATATGAGTAAGTGTAGTTATTTTTTCCACTGAAGCACCCTAAAGCTTCAGTCAAAAATGGGGCCACCTTGTACCAGGTATTTACAGACATACAAACAGAGTCTCTATGCCTAAAAGAGCGCACAATCTGAGAATTATTTAAGCGAATAACCCTAAAAATTAGAGAAAATGCTAGTTATGATCTCTGGGCTCATTTCAAGAAAGCATCCCACTTTGGTGAAATACTTAAGAATACGGGCAACTCTAATCACATGGTTAAAGCTGTCTTGAACTGGAATGGATATAAGCATGTTTTGAGTGTTTTCTGATTCAGGATTTGATAATTAGGATTAGAATGCGTTCATTGACTATGACAAGATCTTTATAAAAGCATAATTGTAATGAAATAATCCTAATTCTTTTCATTTGTGCTGTGTTTAAGCAAGACTTTCAGAAGATTTTACAGATCTTTATTTATTAAGCCTTATAGTAGTCATAAAAGGGAGGTAAGTGTTCCTAAGAGAGTCATATTTTTTTTCTTATCTTCTCTAATAGTTTTATTTGCTATGGACGCAGAAGTTAGAACCAATGTTAACAAAACCTCTTAATGGTAGCAGTACTTAATAGTCTTTCCAACACCACTGGCTAAAGATAAAGAAGGAGCTACAAAATGCTCTCATCTCTGATCTGTTTCTGCACTTTGCAACACTGGGTTAGGCCCTAAATGTATAGTAAATTTTATTACAACTTTTATGATTAAATTATTAAAGTTTATTGAGGTGTTATGCTTCACCTACTGACTAGGTGCAGATTATGGAAGAAAAATTGAAAGCAGCTAATGTTCAGACCAGCGAATTGGAGACCAGATTGTATAAGAGGTGTCAAGATCTGGAGACTCTGCTACAGGAGAAAGATGACATTATACAAAACTTGGAGCAACAACTTGAAGAACAGGTTAGGAATAATTCAGAGACCAAAAGAAATGTTATTTATAGACTTTTAATTGTGCATATAAAAAAGTAAAGAGTGGTATAAGTGAAAAAAGTTTAAAACTCTTTCTCATTGATTAATTGCCTGCTACTATAAAGATAATACAACACATGTTAAATTACTATTCTAGTCTGAGGAGCAAACTCAGCTGGCTTCCTTGCAGGAGGTGGGAATGAGACGGAGTTGTCTATGGGGAAAAAAAAATTTCAGTTGTTAGAGTGGGTCACCGGAGTGAGATTATCGAATTGAGATTGTTTCCTTTGTAAGAACATTTGATTCACATATAGAATGTACTGTGGGGGGACATTTTTTCTCCAGGTCTCCCTTTGAGAGAGATTTTTAATTTATGGTGTACAACAGTAGCCCATGTGAAAAATCCCATGAAGCATTTGTTCAAAGAATTTACCAACTCTTGTGCTAATTATGCTAGTGGCAAAGAGACTGAGATGAACATAGCTAGAAGTAGTCTATGGAATTTGCATTCTAAGATGTTCCTTAGATGGAGTGGTATAAGATTGGAAAGTATATTTTGTCTTACTATTTCAGAAGCAAATCAGAATACAAGAGGCAAAAATCATAGAAGAAAAAGCCGCTAAAATAAAAGAATGGGTGACAGTCAAGCTCCATGAGGTATGTCTCCTATGATACTACAATGAACAAAGTGTAACAGATTAGAGTTTGTGTCATACAAGGAGAGAGATCCCAGTGAAAAAATGTCTACCATCGTCCCGTGGTGCTCTATTTATTAGGCCTAAAGGGTGGTAGTGGGGAAATCCTTCAAAATTTCCTGTCTCAGGAGAGGCATGAGAGAAAAGGAGATTCAATTAGACTAGCATGGGGATGACCACTCTTGGGCTT